CTGGCTAGAGAAGAAAATGGCATTAGAATTTTGTTCATGATTTCAAATTTCTTATCCTCAGCATCAAGCCTGCTTGGTTCTTTCGTAAGTTTTTCTTTTGGAATTTGCAGAAATAACTCCTAAATGCGATGGCAGAATTTTGGTTGGGATGCTTTCCGAGACTAAGTATGACAGGCTTTTGTCTTGGTTTTAAGTTTTGCAGTTTTTTGCTGAATTTTTTGTCGCAGATTTTGTTTGTTGTTTTTTTTAATAGTTGTTAATATTAGGTATTGTCAACTTCGTTCTTGCTTACGCTCATCCAGCATCTTGTATATCCGGTAGCCAACATGGAGAAGAAGTTTTTTAAAAATGAAACAGGCTTTTTTGCATGTGAAAGAGTTCGAATGGTCTGCGCGGTATCACTAATGAGTGGATAAGCTGGGATGAGTGTTTGCTGAATTTTCCATGTATTGGTTGTTTCAATATTAATATTTACAATTTCACTGGCCAGTTGTTCGAGTGTCCGAAAAGCGATGTTCTATGAAAATGTTTCTGTTAGTGCTTAAGCTTAAGAGTGTTGGTGAAATTCACGTGCCCCTTTTGTGTCGAATTTCTTGTTCAGTTCAACAAGCGTTTGCCACCACTCGAATTGCTAGTTACAGCGTGTATTCAGTGATGCAAGACAACACCGGTACGAGTGTCCCATGCAGTGGCACATCCAGTAGTGCACACCTTATCGCCTGTAGTCTTTTAAAAATTCTTTTGTTTTCCTCTTTCCTCCTTTTTTCCTCGTTGCTTTTTACACCTCCTGCATCCTTCCTGCTTTTCCGCCATCGCTTCCTTAAATTCTTGCATGTGACAGAGGGCGTTTTTTGCACTGCATGTAAATATGCAACATGCTTTATTTTACTTCTGAACACACTAACAGCTCATTTTTAGCAGTTCCTGTGGGAAGCAGTTGCCAGGAAGAATTCCTGAGTAGTCTGTACGGAGGTGCGATGTTAGTGCTATTACTGATTTGAGATGCATCCAAGTTGGACGTAGCTATGCCAGACTTTTGAGTCCTGAGTTG